ATGGCTGAAAGAAACTTGTGAGAATCAGGATCTGGATAAACAGGGCATTTGCCAGTTCACAAGGAAAGCTGTAGGATGGACCTCAAGAGGTCTGGGATCTGTTCATCTGCTGTTAGCTTGCCGAACGTCACTGACAGCTTATTTCTTTTGTCAGTGATCTTGCCAAATGCCTGGAGAGCGTCAGGCAGAAAGCCCTTACGCAAGGTGGCGATCCACACCAGAACGTGATGTGCCCGTTTCAGCAGCAGCTGTTCCCATTCACATTTCCCGCGCGAGTCTTTGGCTTTTACAAACACGAGGAAGCTGCATCCACCCCTGAGCACTAGGGAGGAAGCTTGCATCTTGGCCCTAACATCTCATTGACAAAACATGTCACAATTTGGCATGAAACACACGGGGCAAACCTGAATTTTTGGGCATCTGTTAAATCAGTGCTACCGTTCTGAAGAGCTGCTTCTGATTCGAACAGCTTTGCTTTGGAGTGTCGGGTTAGTGGCTTGGCAGCTCTAATTTGCACAGCTTTGTACCCTCACTACCACATCGGAAGCTGGCAAACCTGGCTACCTCTGATGATCAGGTTGTTTTACGGCATGTAAAAGCAGCTGCTAATGAAGATTCGGCTTTGGCTGCTAAACCTCCTGCCCCAGGGCCTTGGCATTTCTCTATCTACTAGAAATCAGGGTGAGACAGGATATAAGGGGAGCAGATTGTCCCATCCGTGCCTCGTGCAGCATTCCCACACCTTCCTTGGAGACCTGGCACTGGCTGCCATTGACGGTTGCATATGACAGCAGATGAGCCCCAGGTCAGATCCGAGCTAGGAACTCTCTTACTCCAACCGCTCAGGTTGGGCATCCAAACCCAGAATGGCCAAAACTGGGGTGGCGTTTGCAAACGCTGGACAGTGCTGCCAGTGTCTTTTTTAGCAGGTGACATATGCTAGGAAACTAAGGGCTCAATCCAAAGTCTACTGACGTCAATGGAAATACTCTTGTTGACATCAATGGGGCTTGGATCCACGCCTACGTTCCACTTCTTTATTTCAGACTGCAATCTGTCAGAGGTAGAAAGGTCTCTCTTCTACCTAGAGACTTCAGCACGTCTTTGAAAGGTCTTGCTTCTTCCAAAGTCATTAAGTTTAGGATGCAGAGTAAAGAACAATTCTGAGAGCAGGCTCAAACCTGTTAACGCTGCACATGTTCCCTCCAAGTTGCTGGCTATCAGCCAGGCTGCAGCTCAGATTTAAGTGCCTGGGTTGTATGTAAGGAAGGTGGTGGCCTTGGCTGTGACATGCTTTGACTACCCAGTGCCTGCTCTAACCTGAATCGGAGCTTCAGACCCGCCTGAGCTGCTCAAGGTGGTCTAGCTTGCTGCTTCCAGGTCAAGCTCTGGAGCTTGACCAAAGCCCTTCTCGTGTGCTTTGGGGTTTGTCAGTTGGATGATGAGTGAGAGACTTTGAATCCACCTTTCACAGGCAGACCCAGGAAGCTTTGATTTTTCAAAGGGAGCAGAGTCTTCAGAGCCCAATTCATTCCCCCGGAAGGGGAGTTCCCCAGGCTGGGAAGAGCACGTCTTAAGACCAGCCCTTCTGCAGAGCGCCGCACTAGCACTAGTTGCACTCCACTTTTGGGGCAGAGCCAATGCACCAGCATGGTGCTAAGAGATACGTGCTGGGTCAGTCTGCCGCATCACTTCTCTGCTATGCCTGTGTGCCCAGGGCTCGTGTAGCATCACATCTGCTGCCTCCACCCTGCTGCTGGGTCCTGGGGTCTCCTCCATTATACAACTGTGGAGGTGAAAAGAGCTGGGTCTGGGCGTGAGCCTGGCCCGGCACACCTCCACGAGTCACTGACCAGTGAGGTCCTGGTCAGGAAAACCACCCTTTCTCCACGATATGCTTGTTAACTAGATACACCAGCCAAAATCTAATGGATAATTATATTCTGCATCATAAAATCTGTCCCTACTGCATTAGTTGCTAGCAGTTGCATAACGTTGCTGTGCGCTGTTAAAGACCTGCCATTTTGCACCCTGGAAGCAGATAATTTTATTGCTGCATTAAAGTCAATCCTATTTCTCTAAGGATCTCCAAGAGCATTAGGTCCGCAGCCTGTACAGGCAGGGCTCCTGAGTATTTGATCATTGCTACCACAGGGACCTGCAGTCTCCTGCAAACAGTGACCCTTCCTGTCCTGTGAAGTGGTGGAGCGTAGCAGCGCGGCGGGCTGGCTTCCTCTCCTGATTCAGAGCATGTATATATAGACCACACAGTGCTCCAGAGTAAAAGGAGCAGTGGGTGGAAGGCGAGATATTATTATCTTCACCTGCTGCTGCCGACCAAAGAAATAAGAGACAGATGATTGGAAATGAGGACTTCAAAAATAGACAACTTTAATGTCAAAACGTCCAGAGACTAGTAGAGCACCGTACAAGACACAGAAAAACTTTTATGCTAGTTACCACGTGCTTTGAGTGTACGTTGGAGGAGGAAATATGCTGACATAGCTAAGAAACTTTGTATTCACTCTTTGTCCATGCCCTGGCCAGAAGAGCCAGAGGAAAAAAAGTGACCAAAGAAACTGCAGGGATACTGAGACATGAATTGTAAAAGCTTCCTTTAATGTTTGACAGCTCCTCCCTAGCTGGATGATTTGCAGTTCTCTTTCACAGAGTAGCATGCCCAAATCCTTCAGCTTACTTTTCCCCTAAAGCACTGCCTCCACAAGGCTGGAGTCTTGCAGCGTTCCTCTTACAGGTCCTCAGGACGTGAATAGCAAAGTTTTTGATGTGAGCCCTCTTTATCCCCCTCCCCCCTCCCCCAAAAAAGTTTTTGCATATGGAAAATATGTGTTAACAAATAGAACTCTATCCTCTTTTCTTAAAACCTCTTAAATATATTAAACATCTAATTTGGCCTCACCACAATATTTATGTACATCCTCTAATAGTTCACCACCCCATCGATAGAGTCAAATTGTTTTTTGCCAGCTCAGCGTCTTCACTGTTAATTCTCTTTTTCAGGTCATACCAATGGTCTTGGTTAGATTTGAACCGGGTTGTGACAGCACCAGAGAAAGTTGGGCCCAAGGGAGAGGAACGCTGGGTCATTTTCTCTCTCCCGCCTCACTGAAACTCAACCCTGGTCCAAAGTCCAGAACTTGCTATACTGAGTCCTAAATAGGTGCCAAGACAACAACAAAGAAAAATAGCAACAGTAGAGAAATTTCAAAGACCTGGTGTTTTGCAACACCAGAGGGCTAGAAATTAGCACGAGTCCAGAGTTACTATCCATTAGTTAGTGATCCAGAGAAAGGAGAGTGCAGTATAAAATTTTGGATTTCTAGCTCTTGTGGTAAAGGAAATCTCAAACCCTGGTCACAGCACTCCCATGACCATCTTGCTGCCTGGCTTTGCTCTAATATGACTTCAGTAGCAGGTAGGTCAAGGGGCCCCAAATCCATAAAACATAGTTTTCTGACTGCTAAAAACTGTGATCTGGGCTTTAAGCTCATTTTTTCTAAATCTATAAGGTTTCTGAGCAAAAGTCCGCTGTAGTAACACCAGAATAAATGTGTAAAGCAAGCTTCCTGAAAGGCCGAATATCTTGCAAAGGACCAAATTTGTGCCTATCAGGAGCACTCAAAGGATTGGTGGGGCAGGGAGGTTCTCTAAACCTCTCTTCCAGGTGGTGAGATCAATAATACCAAGGACAACACAAGCAGGCCTTCACCCCCTGTGTGTTTCTTTTTCTTTGATAAGGCTTGCAGTGTCCTGATCTTTAGGAAAAGAGCACATCAGAACCCAAAATACAACACTTCTGGGAGAGGCCGCCTGGGAGAGGAAGGAGATTCAATCAGTGCCGACCTCCACACTGGTGAGAGCAGCGGATACAAACGAGTGTTTTGCCGTCTTTCATCTCCAGTGCCCCCTCCCCGCCCCCCCCAAATCTGGGTCTCCAATTCCACGTTGCCACAGAGATACTTGATCCTAGCTAAGGCGTCCTTCTTGATCTACAAGGTACGATTCTTGAGTCAGCAGCTCTCGCGTTACTCCTTTGGACTGTCCCTTAGATGTGTCCCCTGTGCTGTATGTCATGCCAGTGAGTGCTGGCCAACGAGTTAAAAGTGCAATGGAATAGCCCAAAGACTAGAAGTGAGGAGGAGGAGGAGTAAGGAAGAAGAGGTGTGCTGGCAGCCTGCCCCAGCCTGGAAGATGTGCAGTTTCTCAGCATTCGGAAGGAAGACTCTGGCATCTTCCAGGGCTCCGTGAGCTGCCATGGTGAAGTTGGCATCCCCTGAGGTCACCACGTCAAAGACGCACGACTGGAAGTAGACATCTTCCACCGGCAACATCTCCTTGCAGAGCGCGCGGGCTGTCTCGGCTGCCATCTGGCCCCGGTGGCACTCGCTGCGGGAGATGCGCTGGCTGAGGGGACAGCCGCCCACGCAGAGCTGCAGGTCTTGTTCTTCCGTGAAGGAGCGCGCCACCTCCTCTGCTGCCCGGATGGAGAAGGAGAGCTGGGGCCCGGCCTGGCGGACGGCGATGGTGGTGCCGATGTACTCCGCCCGGATCTCCACATGCTGCCCAGGCGTGCGCTCCCAGATAGCCAAGCTGCTTCCTCCCGGCCTCTCGCCCCCCTTCACTTAGCCGTCCTCGAAGGCGGCA